CATACAAATTGAATCCTTTAAATAATGAAACTTAATTGATCAATTGCATATTCAAAATGTAATGCAAATTTTAATCCTAACGTATGGCGCACAATGCAAATCTTAATCCTACGTGTATGACGTGTAATGTATGTTTTAACCCCACGTATACGACGTAAAGGCGTCAATATAATATTCAATGATTTGTATTTCGCTTATAAGATATCAGCATTACATACATTCCTTTTCCCTTTTTTTTCTATTCTGATCATTTTCTACATAATTATATGTTCCATATAATACTGGTAATTTAAAAAATAAAAATTGGAAGTAAAAAGGTTTTGTTTTTTTTAATATTTCATTGAAAGAAAATGAAAAATATGTGCTTTATAATATTTAACAAAGCAAAATAGGGTGAAGAAAGGAAGGGATAAAAGTGAAAAAGAAAATGATTGAAATGAATATTTACAGCAAATCAATAATTGGCGATAATAATGATAATTTAAAACAGAAATGAATAAGAATATTCCTATTTCATGCAGAAGATAAAATTTTTCTAAATAAAGTAATAATATACATAAATTGCATAGTGAATATTAAATTGATTATCATATCAATTTTTCTTTTAATTATTTTTTTCATTCTCTTTTTCTTCCCTTCTTTTTTATAACACATTCAATATGCTTTTAAATAATGAAAGAAAAAAGATTATTGCAAATTGGAAACTCTTTTCATTTCTTTTCTTTTTATTTGTATATGATATGCTTGTTGATATTTAAATAAGACAACAAATCTTGTAGATTTATGTAATTATTGTCTCTTTTTCTCTTATTTTTTCTTTTTTTTTTTTAACCATCCAAGTTTGAAAAGTATCGCCATTTTATTCAAGTTAAAATCTTTCATCTTCCATCATCAATGATTTTAGCGATTAAACTCTGTTGTCCAATTAGTCTACGGTAATGAAGTTGAATAAAATAAAAAAAGGATATTTATATTAACAAACATATCATAGATAACTACCACAAAAATAAGCTAACATGCATTGCAGAAAGAAAGAAAAAAAACGATCAGATCAGTTGCTAATAACAATTATGATCAGATCAATTGATTAATAAATTACGATCAGATCAGTTGATTAATAACAATTTTAATGAAATGGAATTATTAATTGTTAAGCAAATATATTATTGTTGTTGTTCTCTTTTCCTGATTTCAAGAATTTTTCGAATTTCCTGCAGTACAAGTAGAGTTGACCGTTTTCAGAGTTTCTGGTAACCTGAATAATAGTTGCAATCAAGATGACATAAATTAAAGGTTAATATTACATCGGCAATCTACTGGATATTAGCAAATCTTAAATTTTTTTGCTACTTTTTTGATGAAAGAATTTGAAAATTGAAATCATTTCCAAGAGAAATTTACAGTGAAAAAGAATAGATTAAGTTAATTACCTCGATTGACGTTCACGTTCATTTTCGTTTTGTACCGTTTTATTCGTATTTGAAGGAGTACTGGTATCATTTGTTAACAAATCCAGAAATAATTTTGATTTCAAAAATCGTCTATAACTATCTTTTGCCATTAATTGTTCAATTCTTGTTTGCGCTAACGAAAACATATTTGGTTTAGCGCCATTTTCCAGAGCTGCTTTTGTTGCTGCACGTGTATCACTATCTAAGTTAACCTAAAAATAAACTTCTTTATTAAATAAGCATTAAAAATTAAAAAAGAATGGTCAATTTTTGATGATATGAATAATTTCATCCGTTGTAAAATATTTGATTAATCAAATTCCTTTTTTTTCTAAACATTCTTAATTATTACTCAATTTCACAAAATATATAAAAATGACAATTGTATTCAAATTTTTAATATAATTATTGTAATAATAAGATTAAAAAAAAACAAAAACAAAAAAATGCAAACCTCTTTTGGTGATTGTTCAGCAATATATTTATTATATATTGAATGAGCTTTTTGAATTGTTGATTTTTTCCCTTCTTTCATCTTTCGAAATTCTTCACATTCAATCCAAAAATCAACATTTTCATCGCTGAATTCTCCTTTTAAAAAATGTTCGAAACAATAGACAACCATCTTAAAATGACCCAATTTATTGTTTATGCGATGATGTAAATATAATAATAATTGACTGAAAAATACTTTCCATTATAATATTATGTTTAATTTATACAATCTTCATTGCTCTCGTTAATTAGTAATTTAATTACAAAAATTTCCCAAAATGCAATTTAATTTATTTAAAATAAAATATGAAATATTACAAAAATTTCCCAAAATTCAATTTAATTTATTTAAAATAAAATATAAAATCTATAATAACCTATTCAAAAAATTAAAATCAACATACATTTGTGATTTAGCAAACGTTCGAATGATTCCCGCCACTGCATGATCTCTTCCTTAGATGGATAGAGCGTTGATGTACTACAAGAGTCCATCTTACTCCTGATGAAATCCAACGTTTTCGCGAATCTACCACTAAAATATGATAGTTTTAATTTATCCCATCAAAAATTTAAAAATTTGAAATGAATAAAATTCCTCATTCCTTCTTACACTTATACATCCTTTCTTGTTCTCCAAAATCCATCAATAGTATTTCCTTAATTTTAACACATAAAATTAAAAGTTACAAATATTGTCACTAAATGTCATCATGTGTTTCGATTAAATATATAGCATGATAAGAAGACTACATTGTTTTAAATGAATTCTTTAAAGTTAAACTCTAATTGTCTGAGTGAAAAAAAAAAGTAACTTACAATCTCCTCTTTGGTTCAATGTCATGCACTTGTTGTCTTTGATTTACTTTATCTAAACATCCTTTGGGACTAAAAGTGAATGATGCCGTCCGCCTTACAGAATTTATAGAATCCTATAAATAGAATATATATGGTTGACAAAAAAAGAAAAAAAGAAAAAAAGGAAAATGTTAATTAATGAGAAGATGAAAAACAAATAAAGTCTTTTATTCAGTAGGATTAAAAAGTGAAAATGAAATGAAAAATTTATGCATGAAGAAAATATTAATGAAACAAACTGTTATAATTTGACGTGTTGAGTATGATTTAAACATTGGATAGAGCATGCAACTATGCATTCTAATTTAAAGCAAAATGATTCCTTAGATTACAGGAAAAAGTTTAATTAGTAAATGCGATAATATTACCAATATTTGATACCATCTGACATCGCTTTTATTCATAGCACTAATTAACAACTAATTTTACAAAAGCTTTAATAATTAAATTCAATGCTTAAGCTGCATCAAATGAAAAATTTTTATAATTAGTAAGAAAGACTTTACACTGATATGATAAATGTAATGAGTTTATAAATTTATATTAATAAGGCAAACTATGAAGATAGCATAAAATTATTTATACCTCAGAATTCTTTTGTATTTCATTTGCGCACAAGTACTGAGCATTTGTAGAAACGTCAATTGATGGCTTAATATCTGCAACACTGGATCCATCTGATGTCAAATCACCTATAATAAATTTTGAAAGTTAACTTCAAAATCAGTCTTAACATTCATCAATAAAGAGTTACAGTTATTTATCAGGATTACCGGAATTGCTGAACTATTTGCTGGGATGAAAAAAAAAAAAGGGAAACGAATATCTTTCAGATAAATATAATGGTAGTAGTCAAACTATTCCAAACTAATTGAGAGCATTCCATAAAAATGAAAGCAAAACAATATTTGAACATATTAGCTTGTTTGAAAAACTTTAAGGAATATATTATGCAATAGTTGACATCGTCTAGTTTCACTCATTCTCGTATTATGGTCAAATCAATGATAGTGACCAATCTTTGTGAGATTTATTTATTGAAATTAAAAAACTAAAAACATATTAAATTTAAAAATTTTGTAAAAACTAACTTGTAGTAGTGATAAATGGTACGCCAATTAGTTTTCGATGTAAATTGTCACTAACTGTCGTACTGGATGTAATACTTGAACTTTCTGTTGTATAATCCAAATCATTGTGCCGAATACTAATTGGTATTTTAGATGTTGCATGTGATGCTGTTTTATCTTTTGTAGCTGTATGCAAATTGGTACCAGCATCTTCATTACTCCTGGAACATTCGGCACCACATGGATTAACACCATACGTCCAACCTGGTTTTCTATATTGACATTTAATTGGTATGAGTGATGTTGTATGACCACTTGATGATGGTGATAATGATGTTGTTTGACTGTGACAATGATGACGACATGTTTGTGAATTACAACTATTCCAATCCGAATTACGCATTATCTAAAATGTAGAATATTTAAAGTTTATAAAATAAGAGAAAACAAAAAAGCTAATTTAATAATTTCAGCAAAATCAAATAATTCCATAAGAATAATTACCAAGCAGTAATTATTAACGAATGAAATTGAATTGAAGTAATAAATTTTAGATTAACTAAAATTACTAAATGTATCGATACTTCCCAGATGGGAAATTAACAACGGTAGAAAGAAAACACATGGCATTAAATGAGATATTTTTCAAATCACTTCGATTATTCGATCAAATTTCAGGAAATATCATCTTTATAATGAAAATGGATAATAAATTTCGTAGCTTTTGTCAATGATATAATGATAGGAATATTTCGCCTCTTTCATTTCTTCATATTTATGATATTCATATTTTCATATTCATATTCATACTTATATTTATGCATTAGCATAGGATTGCTAAAAAATCGATTAATGAAAAATTTATGGAGAAAAAATGACCCTACATATGGAAATCAAAAATATTTAAAAGTTTTCCTTAGTATTAGGAAAAAAAAGTACAAGAAAACCTGAAACAAATTTAAATTTTTAAATATTTGAAAATTCTTTGCAGAAATTTCAATCATTCAAGATTTTTTTCTTAAAAAAAAAAAAAAGAAAAGCATATCTGAATTCCTTCTATTGAATATACAAAAAAGTTAGAATATTTATATGTTATTTTAGAAATATTTCTATAAATTTATAAACATTTTTAATGCAGTATATACAGTTATTAATCTTTTTAATATAAATTTTTTCCTAAGAATGTTTTGTAAAAAAAAAAAAAAAAATCAAATTCTGAAAAAACAAAATTGTATTTGATAAAAATAAGCAATGATAAGGAAACATCATGATCAATCAATGCTTTATCATTTTAAATAAACTATGCAATAATTCTTCTTTTCTTTTTTGCATTCAAAAATTAGATATTTTTCTATTTTTTGATTTTTTCCACACCAAATCTTTCGTCCCATTTCACTATAATTGGAACTATTGCGCCATTCCATAACTCTATTTGTCTATTTTGATAATTGTTGCGCATCGCTGATTTTGTTTAATGCTCTGGAAAAGTATCACAAAAAAATGGGGAATTATATGAGAGATATTTTGCGTATATAATTGCTCTATAAGCTCATTTTTAAAGAATTTAATCGAAATTTTTAAAAAAAAATACGAAAAAAAAACCTTTCAAAATACACAAATTGATAAGAATTGAGTGAAAAAAAAAAATGCATTTTATTAGGAATGAATTAAATTTGATAAGTAAAAATTATATAATAATTTCATATAAAAATTAATATTGCTTTCAATAACAATGCTTTTGAACAGAAATATTTCAGGAAAGCTTATTCAAATTTATGATTTTAAAATTCCATCCATTATTTCCAAAATATTTAACTCTTGAATTCCATCCAAGAACTAAAAAAGAAAAGAAGTGAAAGATTCATAAAGCTATAATTCATAATTCATAAAGTTTCATAAAATTGAACTACTACGGTATTATATATATATTATTTTTTACAACTGAACAAATTGGAAATTAAATTGGAAACTAAATTGGAAACTGAAGTTTTTCATCGATTTCAGAAAAAAAAAATTGCAGTATTTTCCATCCATAGATGATATACGATAGCATATCAAATTTTTCAAAACTAAAGAAAGAAAACTATTCCCAAATGTTTCAGTGATAGTTTTGATTGAATAGAAATATGAATATTAGTTAGAATAATGATGATAATAAATAAGGAAATACGAAAAAAGGATGTAAAACAATCCAAAAGCATGCTAAAGTTAGCTTCATTATTCTTATTTACACATATCTTCTTATTTACACATATCTTCAGGATATTCATAGAAAGAAAACATAGACATAATTAGTCAATCTCTTTCATCTATGTAATTAAATTTATTTCCACTTACCGATATGGTTAAATCCGGTTTATCCATTACCATTAAGTCAGGTTTAAATTTGGTTCCACACATCTAAACCCACTAAATTGGAGCAAAATCCATCACATTTACTTTTCAAGTTATTATATATTTTATAGCATCCACCACCTACATTATCAATAAAAAAAAAAATTTAAATTTAGGATTTTTTCGATATCATTGAGCCTTTTAAACCTTCATATTATTCACGTTTTGAACGATATTTAAAAATTTCAAAAATTTGCGAACTTTCCAAATTATTAAATTTGCCAAATTTTTCCTCTTATAATTCAATTTTAGCATTGAAAAGTTGCAAGTGTTACTTGGCAAGAATGGATATGTGGAAATTTTTCGGAACTTTTTTTAACCAGTTGATAAATGATGTAAAAAGTTCGTTTTAAAATACATCCGGGACAAATATGATTGATTTAACATTGCAAAATTGCAATTGCAAAAAGTTGCAAAAAAAAAAATGCATGTCCTTTCTTTTTTTTTTTTGATTTAATAACACCAAGGCATAAGAAGGATTACTATCAACTAAAATTTTGTAATATAAATTTCTAATATTAATTTAAAATGACTCATTGATTATATAATTTCTAATTTTATTACAAATTTTTGAATAGGAGAAAAAAATTCTGTCATATTTACAATAAAAATAAAAAAGAAAAAAAGATGAAAAAGTATGATACTTAAAAAAGACAAAAAAGTGATTTAGCAAATCTTTCTTGCAAACAAAACTTTTATAAATGCTGAAAAATCATTAGAAGAAAAAAAAAAAGAAAGATCAATTGAATAACAAAATACTGGTATTAAATTCGAAACAAAAAAAAATTCCGTTTATAATTCATTTCAATGAAATATTTGTATTTTAATACTTTTTTTTTTACAAATTATTTTTCCCGCTAATGGAATACTTTTAAAAAAATTTGCCATAGATTTCAATTTTTATTCCAAATAAATGCTTTGCCCAAATATTAACTAAATATATTGTAATCATTATTTAAAAGGAAAACAATCATATTAGAAATATGCAAATGAAACTAAACAAAAATTTCAATTTTATTCATTCAAAGAAAAAAAGCAACAAAAATTTTAGGAAGATAGATGAAAAAAAGTGAATAGAAAATTTTAAAAGAATATTAAGAAAGCTTAAGCATAAATTAAGCCTAGTTTTTAAAGAGCATCAGATTGGAAGAATAAGTTTACATATTATATGGAAATGTATGTCAGTTAATTTAAATTTAAATTTAAATTATAAACTTCATTTTTTGAACGTTTTAAATTGCTACGAAAAAGATAAGTATTGATATTAGAATGTGGAATAATCATTACATATTGATTGTTCTTTTTTTTTTCTTTTTTTTTTAAGAAATAAAATGAAACCACAAAGGAATCGACAGATTAGTAAGTATATATTCCCATGATAACTACAACAGTAATAGTATTAGTATAGTGGTAAGAATATAACGAAGGGTAGCAATAGGATAGATAAAATAAAATGAAAAGTATCACATTTACAACAACTAAAAGGATTTTGCTAAGAAAAAAAAAAACAAAAAATAATATTAAAAATAAAATTTTATTTTAATTTTAAAGAGAAAATTATTATTATTTCATTACGAATTAATTATTTGTTTTCAGTTTAAAAAATGGCCAATTTTATCAAACAATTAATGCATTTTTAAGTAACAGAATGTTTCCTTTTTTTTCTTGAAAATGGAAATTTTCTTGTTTTCCTGAATGATAACTGATTAAAAGCTTTTTGCATTTTATCATTACTGATATTGTTGATATGTAAGATATTATGTTCGTTTAAAATTTCTCCTAAAATTTTCACTTATTAATAGAACTAAATCATTGAAATGAATGAATCATTTATGAATTACCAATTTCTATTATTTCATATCATCTAGCTGATAAAAAGAAAGGAAGAATCGTTGTGATGAGATGAATTGCTCCATTGATATATCATCTTTCTTAATGTTTCACTTTTATTTTGAAAAATCCCAGGGTAAGGAATTTTCTTCTTTCTTTTTTTTTTTTTTTCAAGTTGAAAAATCTCAAATCAAATTTTCCCAAAAGATTTTGTTTTGTGTATCAAATGAAGCTACTCATTCGTCTCTATTTTTGCTTTCAATAACAAAATCTTGACATGACGATTTTTTCTTTTTTCTTTTTTTTTTTTTTAAAACTTAAAGCGAATAGTAAAAAGTATATTATCTTTTGATCCATCAAATTTAAGGAAAGAAAAAAAAGAAGCTTTTGTCATTGCTGTTATCATAGTTTTTGTTTACACGAACTTTTTCAGTTGATATGAATGAAAATTATTTTAGATAGTACAGTTGAAGCATGTAAATGTGAGGAAAACAACTAAGATAGAGTATTATCATAGAGTATTGATAGAGTATTATCATACTCTATCATAACAATGGACAACTATTGATAATTTTCTATCATAACAATGACTAACTATGATAACCATCTATCAATCATGATAATGCTCTATCATGACAATGACTAACTATGCTAACGTTTTATCATGATAATGGGTATGATAATGCTCTATCATGACAATGACTAACTATGTTAACATTTTATCAGAAACAAAATTGTATATTTCTGATTTCAGGAATATTCCTAATATTTTTCTTTCAGAATTAAAATTAGATTTATAATAATTTCCATTTGAAATCAATATAGTATAATGTTTAAATTGTGTCATTATTACTTATCAATAATTTAAAAAAAAAAAAAAAGAAGAGGAAAAAATGGATGGGAAAATTTGGTAGAGGATTAGTTAAGGAAGGAAAAGGAAATGATTTCAACAATTGGTTGTTTACTCAGAAAATGACTTTCTCCTTTTCATGAAAACAAAAAGGAAAAAAAAAGAAAGAAAAGGAAGGCACAACAAGATTGACATTCATTTTCAAAATAGCTGCTTTCAATGGACTTCATTTAATTAATGAGCAAAAACTAGTTAAAGTATATAAATAATACAATGACATGTTGTTATTGCTATTATTGATACTGCCCAATGGTGTATTAATTTTTCTA